ATTCTACCAAATTTATGTTAACACAGCCCATTCAGCCATTCTTCAAGGGTGCCCCTCAGATTACAATTCTTTGCCACCTCTAAAAAAAGCCATAAATATTTTTGGAAATCCTTAGAGGTTGTTTTGCTTAGGACTAATCCTTCCTTTAACTTAACCTCCAGTTAATCTATGGATCTCTCTTTTCTTCCTATTTATCCATTGAGTTAACTGTATTTCTGTACTCAACTCTGTGTGTATAGTCTTCCCTCTTTTGACCAGTTCATATGAGAGTGAGGTTCAAATGTCAGCTTCTCCTGTCTTCCTCATTTGTACAAACTTTTACACGTGCAACCTGATTATGTGTGATAATTCTCCCTAATCTTCCTCACCATACTATATTCCTCGTCTACTCTTTTCTCATTCTTTTTATAAGATCAGCAAGACATAACAGAATAAGTACCAGGCCTTCTGTCTAATTACTTTCCCTCTGTGAGCCCAGAATATGCGAGAGGTCAGATGGGGCACAATATTAATGTCTCCATACTAGAATGTAAACACTTTATCCTTGTTTAGTCCCTTGTGATTATTTGCATTTATTTTCCTTTTTATGTTTTTCTTTTTTTTACTCTAATATAAATTTATTTATTTTCAGTTTTCAATATTTACTTCCACAAGATTTTGAGTTCCAAATTTTCACCCCATCTCACCCCTCCCCCACCCCAAGATGGCATGCACTTCCTCTAGTCTGTCCTCTCTAATATCTCTTCCCCACTTCCCTTATCCCCTTCCCCTTCTATTTTCCTGTAGGGCAGGACAGACTTCTGTGCCCCATTTCCTGTATTTCTTATTTCCCAGTAGCATGTGAAAGCATTTTTTTTAAACATGTGTTTTTAAAACTTTAGGTTTCAAATCTTCTCCCTTCCTCACTCCCCAACCACCCTCATTGAAAAGGCAAGCAACTGAATATAGGTTATACATGTGCAGTTTTGCAAAACACTTCCATAGTAGACATGTTGTGAAAAACTAACTCTATTTCCCTTAATCCTATCCTGCCCTCCCATTTATTCTATTCTTTCTTTTGACCTTGTCCCTCCTCAGAAGGATTTGCTTCTGATTACCCCCTTTTCCAATCTGCCCTCCTCTCTATCATCCGCCTGCTCTCTTGTTCCCTTCTCCCCCTATTTTCCTGTAGGGTAAGACAGATTTCCATACCCAATTGAATGTGTATGTTATTCCCTCTGTAAGCCAAATCCTATGAGAATAAGTTTCACTCATTCCCTCTTACCTTCCCCCATTTCCCCTCCACTGTAAGAGCATTTTCTTTTCTGGTTTGTATTTTTTTTGTGTGAGATAATTTACCCCATTCTACCTCTCCCTTTCTTCTTCTCCAAGTATAATCCTCTCTCATCGCTTAATTTTATTCTCCAGATATGACCCCTTAATCTTCAACTCACCCTGTGCCCTCTATCTATCTATCTATATATACATACGTATATTTTTTTCCCTCCAACTACCCTAATTCTGACAAAGGTCTCATGAGTTATAAATATCATCTTTCCATGCAGAAATGTAAACAGTTCAACCTTAATAAGTCTCTTATGATTTCTCTTTCCTGTTTACCTCTTCATGTTCCACGAATGCCATTGTTTCTTTACGTTGCTTTTCTCTCTCTCTCTCTCTCTCTCTCTCTCTGTCTCTCTCTGTCTCTCTGTGTGTGTGTCTCTGTCTGTCTCTCTCTGGTACACAGTTCTTTTGTTAATAAAACCATGTGAACTAACCAGTATAGGTTTTATTTTACCTAAATTTTTATATGAGGAAACTGAGTCCCAGAGAGGTAAATTGTATTTTGCATCATTGCCACCAACATTTACATTTTGGATCCAGCTTTTTTACCCCTGCTTTACCTTATGCCTTGCCAACTATAGACAGAAGGAATTGGAGCTACTTGGTTCAGTGGATAGGGTACTGAACCTGGAGAGAGACAGACTTGAATTCAGATTCTTATTTAGACACTTCTTAGCTGTGTAACCTTAGCCAAGTCACTTAACCTTTATCTGCCTCAATTTCCTTAATTGTAAAATGGATAGATTTTTTAAAAGAAGAACATTTGAGAACAGTGGATGATTTTATGTGGAGTGCAATTTGAGAATTTGAATTGGATGGCCTTGATCTTAATCCAAGAAGAGTTGGTACTCCCTGTTGAGATTTAACGTGAAGTCTTTGTGAGTGTGGAAAAGTTTTGGGACAGATCATGTGTGTGATACAGTAAAATAAAAGGATAGACAATCAGCATTAAAGACTCAGACAGGATTACATGTTATGAATTTTAATTATTGTCTGCATCTTCTGACTTTCTCTAATAAGGTCTGAGAGTGAGGAAAATAGGTGGTAGGGGTTACTGATTGGTATAGATTTGCATAGTAGAGGGTTGGGAAGGCCTAGTACTTTATAATGTTAACATCCTCAGGCTAGATAGGGGAGGCAAGTGAAGCCAAAAGGAATCTGATTGGGAAATCAGGATGAGAGAAGTCTGAGTGTGAAAAGACTGATTTCACTAACTTTGGTGGAATGTGAAACTTGAAAGGAAAGGGGTTGTGATTGTGTCTAAGGGCAAGTCAGAGTTCAGTTTTGTCTCCAAGGTTGTACTACTGCCTGGGTTCAATCAACCATGTGAAAGAAACCTTCTTGCTAGAAGTTCTTTTCACCCTGGAAGCTCCCTTTTACCCCCTGGGCTTCTTAAACTAAAAGTATCCTTCTGACCTCTTTCTCTGATTGGTTTCTCCTAGTATCTCCTTTGAGGAGGATGCCCAGCCCAGCCTTGTAGTCTTTCCTCTCTGAGGCTGAGTGCTTGACTCTTAGGACTTTTTCTGTCATGCCCTGGGGGAGGGTTCCCTCTCCCATTTCTTTTCCTACCCCTACCCTCAGCTTTCTTTTATGTGTTGTTGGAGTCTCCCACCCAACCCGCATTAGAATATAGGCACTAGGGCAGTTAGGTGGTATAGTAGATGGAGCACTGGCTCTGGAGTCCAGAGTACCTGAGTTCAAATGTGACCTCAGGCACTTAATAGTTGTGCGATCCTGGGCAAGTCACTTAACCCTGACTGTTCTCTCTCCCCCCCCCAAAAAAAAAAAAGGAAGAAAGAAAGCTCTTTGAGGGCAGGGCTGTCTTCTGCCTGGCACATAGTAAGCACTCCATAGATGCTTATTCAGTTGTTGCCTTCAATTTTTTGTTTTGTTTTTAAATATAATACTTGCAAATAATGAGTTCTTTTATGGCATAGTTGAAGAAAAGTTTGGAGTTGAAGTTGAAGAAATGAGTATGTTAATTAGATGGCTCCATATTAGATCTTGTATATTCATCTTTACATTAGTGTTTTTATTTTTGTCTTTTTGATGCTTATCTTATTTGATGATTATTTGTCTTATTTGATAATATCCATAGCTACATATAAATATACACATACAGATAAAAATTTTAATTTTAACAACTTTGGAACATCTCTGCTTAATTATATTTTAACTGTTGTCTATAACAGGGCCTCATAAACTTTTCCTATAGGGGATCACAACTCATAGCTTAAGAGGCATTATATAAAACAAATTTTAATTAAAAAAAAAGTTGTTAGCTATTAGTAAGAGAAATAGATTTTAAATTATTGAAAAATTTAAAATGCCATAAAATATGTAATGATATTGTTCTCAATCTGATTATTATTATACTTATTATTATAATTGATTTCATGTTAATATATACTTTATTTTTAACCTCTTCTCTTGCATGATTTTAGATCCCATGATCTTTCCCTTGGAACCCTAATCTTCCAGATAAAGTTGGCTTCATGAATTGTGATCTCCTTTCATGGACAGGGACTATTCGATATCTTATTTTTAATTTGTTTAATAACCAGATTAATCAAGTAGTGTTGTTTTATGAGATCTGGAAACAGATCATTTAATTTAAGTTTTACCTTTGCTAGATGAGAAAACTGAGGCCAAGAGTGGTGAATTATTTGCCTAAAGTAGTAAAGTAGAGACTGGAACCCAGGTATTCTAAATTGTAATCCAGTGTTATTTCTACATATGCTATCCCTCTCTGTTCTGGGATATGCAGATAATAATCTTGTATAGAACTACTTGAAGATATTCACTAAATGGAAAATTTCTTTGTGCTCATCCCTTTGCACACACACTCACTCACTCTTACATGTATGATGGAATTTCACAAAACAGATCCAACTTAGATATCACATAAACTGATTTAGTTATAGAAGTGCTGCAAGGGTCTTGTAATGAGGTAGACTCAAATAATATCCTATCCCCATTGTATGGCTCTCAAGGGTCTTATTACAATAATTTATTAATAGTTTGACCTATACAAACTTGATATTGTTATTCCATTTAAAATATGTTCAGAGTTTGGTACTATGAAATAAGATAAAGCCTCCCCACCCCTCCTCACCAGCTGATTGGCTTAATTTCTGATTTCCCAAAAGGCTACTCTGTTTGTTGAAATTTTGCTATGAGCAGGCATTGTCAATAATTTTTACATTCTAACAATTCTGAAAGACTGAAGAAGAAGACCTTTAGTGGAAGCGTGTCTGGTTAAAGAGGTGATATGCTATAGGTACAGAATGAGAGCAGCCTTTCCAGACTTGCCCTATGTGTTGATTTGTTTTACTTGATTGGATTTATTTATTAAAAGGAAGCATCTATGGGGTGGGAAGGGAAAGGGTGAATTAGTGGGTAAGTAAAGAAGAACAAAAAAAGATTAAAAAAAAGTTCAGAAGGGAACTGCTAACAGCATGATTTTTATTACTACCTTGTGAAATTTAGTATTTTTAATAAAAATTGCAAATTGTACAATACAAGTTGATATATTATCCTTAAAGAAATTTCTGTGCTGCATTCGCTGTGTTGACGATGATTAAATTCATTATAAAAATAAAAATATTTTTTTTTATACTAGCAAATATTCTGGTGGCTGATAATTTTTTTTTTATTTTTGTTTTTACCCTTAACAGAAATTAGCAGAGTACGAAAAGACATGTATAATGACACGTTAAATGGGAGTACAGAGAAAAGGAGTGCAGAGCTGCCTGATGCTGTGGGACCTATTGTTCAGTTACAAGAGAAGCTCTACGTGCCTGTAAAAGAATACCCTGATGTAAGTAGCAACTTGTCTATTGTATCATCTTCTCAGTTTGACTTGTTGTAGGGAGAGAACACTATTGAGAAGCTTAACACCACTATGCCCCAATTATATTTATATGAACTTTAGGGAGTAGAAATGTGAATGGTTTGAAATGGCAGCTAATAAAAAGATTTTTTGATTTAGCTTTTTAATTTCATTTTTCTTTCTTTTGACTACACATATTTGTTTTAGACATTTATGTCATACCAAATAAGGAAGACACATTTTGAAGAAATGATTTACAATTAATTAGAAATAGTTAGGGAAAAAAATCTTTTCATCTTGCTTAGTTCTTAATTCTGTCTTGCCACTCATTCAGTTTTGTAGACAGAAAGGTTTTTTTCTTACATTTAGGCAGTGTTTTTGTCTAAAGAAAGATGGAATGGAGAGATGGTAAAATGTTTTTTTCCCCCATGTGTAAAGTCAGTAGGAGTTGATTTTGTTTGTGAATGCCTGAATATGCAATATGTAAGTTCTTAAGAGATCAGTACCAACTACATCACTGAACTGGAAAGCAAATAAATCTTTTCCCAGTACAGATGATCAGATATTGATTTATGAACATATTTAAGTGTGAAGATGGTATATGACTTGAATTAATCAAGAAATTCACAGACTTCTTTTCAAGAAGACTTTGAATAGGCTCAAAATTTGTGGTTAAAAATTTGAACAGTCTGTTGATAGAGCACCAGCCCTGAAGTCAGGACGACCTGAGTTCAAATGTGGCCTCAGATCAAACACTTGACACTTACTAGCTGTATGACTCTGGGCAAGTCATTTAACCCCAATTGCCTAAAAATAAAATTTTGAACAATCTGCCTTAAAATAACCCTTAGAAGTAATTGTTAGCTAATTTAAGAATTTCTAACCTTAAAATGTTACAATTCAGTCATCAAATATATTTAATGTATGTGAAGGAATATAAAAATATTTCATGCCTAGTTAATGTGAAAGGATATAAAAACATTTTAAAAATATTTGTTCTTTGAAGTAATTCCTACAATGACAGAATAGCAGATATTTCTTCAAGGAACATATGTTTTAAGAATTTTTAAAGAGTTTTTTTGTGGAAATATGAGCTTGTGAATTTTAATGAAATTTTAATATTTTTAATATATTAATTTAGCTTTTATTGTGGGCAGTTATATGGTTCAGTATATAGTGTGCTGGGCCTAGTGTCAGGAAGGCTCAAAATCAAATTCAGCCTCAGATACTTTCTAGCTACGTGCCTCTGGACAAGTCACTTAACCTCTTTTTGCCTTCATTTCCTTATTTGTAAAGGGAAGATAATAATAATACCTATTTTCCAGGGTTGTTGTGAGGCTCATATGACATATTTGTAAAGGGCTTAATGCAGTGCTTGGCACATAGTACTATGTAAAATCTAGCTGCTGTTATTATTTTTATAAGGCATTTGTGATACTAAGCCCAATTTAATTGTGCTCAAAATTTTAGCCTTTTATTTTATAAATCATGGTAAAAGAGACAAGGCTAAAATTAGCTTTTTATAGTTGTGTAAGCTATGAAGTAGAGGTACTAGAACCATTCAATATTTGAGGTGAGAAGAATGAAAGTAATGAAAGAATGAGAAACCCTAGTTGCAGATGTGGGAGCTAAAAGATATGGGGAAGCCTGTGAAAATTTTTTTGTAGCACATTCCCACTTTAAGATAAGAAAATTGATTACATTACATTCAATATATAAAAATGTAACTTGTCACAACTCTCCTTAATTAAATAAATCTATGAATTATTATGTCTTAATGAGACAAAGGTTGTATTAAGGTTTCTCCCTAACAAGTTATTCAACCATCTAAACTCTCCTTCACTGTGTATACCACTTACAGTACAGTTCATACATTTTTGGAAAGTGACTTCTGAGGTTGTATCTTCCAAATCTGAGATTTTGAGATGTGAAATTAGTGTCATGAAATCTGTTAGAAAGAGTCAAGGAGGAGGTGGTAAAATGCTACAAGTAAAATAAGAATGAAGAATGAAAAGAGACATTGATTGGTGAGGCAGTGTAGTTGTGCCACTAGAAAAAGCACTGAGTTTAGAGTCAGAGAATCTGGGTTTGAATCCCACCTTTGTTACTTTCTGTGTGATAGTCCAAAGGCACTTGACTTCTTTGGGACCCAGTTCCTTATCTTATGGGGGGATTGGACTAGATGATCTCTAATGTCTCTTCCAGCTCTAAATCTATGATCCTGTGACTTGGCATATAAGGAAGTTATTGATAACATTGAAGAGAATGGTTTCATTAGATGTGACAGGATTTGTAGAAGCTCAATTGCCTGTCATTGAAGAGTGAGGATGTATTAAGGAAGTAGGGTCAGGGAGTTTGTTCTTCCTTGAGTTGAGTTTTCATACAGAAGAGAATGATAGCTTCAGAAGTCAGGTATTCTAATCATTTTCTGTTCTGTATGAATAGTTTTTCAAAGATGGAAAGATACAGGTAGAAAGCTATGAACATATTTATTTTTTATTGTGAGCAAGGAGAGGAGACTGTTTGGGGAAGTAGCAGTTGATGACAACCAAAAGGTAAAGCAGGTTCTAGAATTCCTTGGGGATACAGACAATAAGAAGGCGATAGGGAGCTGGCTGGAATTGAGAAATGTGCTCAAGGATTTTGTCCCAGTAGCAGGTACCAGTCTCGCAGCTTTCATCTTAACCATTTGTCCTCTTTTTCTAACCCCTATGTCTTTGGAACTGTTGTCTCAAGCTGTGAAAGTTACTCTGGTATCCTAGAGCTACACAAGAGTCACTTCATTGTTTGACAAGATGGAAAGATTAGGAAAAGAGTCACTACTTAGGGAGAAGTTTCTGGCATTCTAAGATGAAATTCAATGAATTTTCTTTGATAATTCTATTATTGCAATTTGATTTTACCAATGATAAACTTTAAGTATGAGATAGTGTATATAAAATACTTAGCAAACCTTAAAGTATTATCAGCATTATCATCGTTAAATAGTATTTTGTAGACTTTTCTAGAAACATAAAATTTGTTTATATGAATTTTGAACGTCAACCAGTTGATGAATGAGCTTTTGGAAAATGGTTTCCAGTAACTTGATAACTATTGAGAATTTTAAATCTTTAATTATTGTTATTAACGAGTATATACTTAGTATAGACATTAGAGATTAAGGGGGAAGGAAGGGAAAGGTAATAAGCATTTGTATAGAGTCTACTATGTGCCACTATGCCAAGCATTTTATAAATATTTTCTCATTAGATTCTCACAACAACTTTTTGAGGTAGGTGCTTATTACCCCCATTTTACAATGGAAGAAACTGAGGCAAACAGGTTAAATGACTTGCTTAGGATGATATGGCTTGTAAATGTCTGAGGCTTGATTAGAAAGAAGGTCCTCCTGACTTTAGTGCTATTATATCCACTGTGCCTGAGGCCTGGAGAGAGTAAATGACTTGTCCAAAGTCACTAAGTTATATTGTAGAACCAAGGTCTGAATCTAAAGTCATGTGATTCCAAATCTGATGCTTGTGGAAAATCCATAACACCATGCTGCTTCTTTTAGTCTATGTTATTTTAAGAGTATAGTTGAATTAGGGTTGTAAAACTTTGAATAACAATCCTACAAGTTCTGCAATTAGAATGAGTCCCCTCAGTAGGGGAAGGGGAGGGAATAAGCACTTATATAGAGCCTACTATGTGCTATTGTGCCAAGTACTTTACAGTTATTTCACTTGATCCTCACAACTCTGTGAGATATATGCTATTATTACCATTCTACAGTTGGGGAAACTGAGACAATCAGGTTAAGTGATTTGCCCAGGGTCACATACTTAATGGTTTTGATTTCTTCTTCTAGGTCTCTTTATTTTTCATACATATTGCTAAATTTTTGCAACCTGCAGTGAAATTCTTCCAGATTTACTGTTTTCTGTCATAATCTAAATTAAGTTTGTGTTCCTTAATGATAGCCCCTTTCTGTTGTTGGTGATGGAGATGATGTAGACTTGAATCACTATCATAAATCTACTTCTGTAAAACAAATCAGTGGATTTATTTGGCTCAACCATTTTGTTTAGATACTTCTCTCTGATATCTTGGTTAACATCATGTGGGATGTTGGCCATGGAACGCCTGCCTTTCATTTTGGATCATATATCTTAGGTCTTTAGTAGGAACCAATTAGAAGTAAGACAATTTCATAACTTTTGGACACATCTAATGGTGTGTACCTATTGTATGCTATTATGATATTTTCTTGTTCCAGAATTTTTTCTAAAAGTATTTAGTGTGTTATGAGAACGTCTTATTGATGAACAAGCGTTAATTTTTCTTTCTTCTTATTAGGATTATGGACCCTTGTTTATGAATATTATGCAGTATTACCGTTATCATCTTGTTCTCATCTTTCATTGATGGATTTCGGATAGCTGTGGTCCAGGGACATGCTATGATCTTGCTGTTGTCTTTATGTTTACTGTTCAAATAAATTTTTTTCTCGTGGAATTAAAAGATAATCAGGATGTAAGCTCATGCTCCCTGAAAATTTTATTAGTAAAACTTGAGCATTAAATAGGACAGTAAGATCACTATGTGTCTTATCCAGTTCCCACATGATTTTGTTCCGTTACTATGTATATTTTGAAAACTTCGTTCCATATAGCTTGGTGATTATGAACATTTGGTGTAGTGCTGTCTATGAAAAATATCATTCTTAAGTTTTTGCATCATTTTTATGTTTAGTTAATAGTGATAATGTTCTTGTTCCACTATAGCTTTTCATTGAGTTCTTAGATACTTTGAGGTATAATTCTAGGTACTGGCTTGGTGGATGAAAGTGAATGGACCTAAATGAGAAAGACTTGAATTCAGACCTGCCTCAGACACTTACTAGCTGTGTGATTTTGGGCAAGTCACTTCAACTCTGTCTGCCTCAGTTTTCTCATCTGTAAAATGGAAATAATAACAGCATGTACCTCACATTGTCGTCTATCAAT